CTGGGATAAGTTTCTCCTGGAACCGTACTCGTATGCCAGGGATGTTGTCTACGTGGTGGTGTGTCCCGACAACGAGCATGTGGTGAGTTGCACCCGCAGCTATTTCCGGGAACTAGGCAGCACCTACGAGATGTGCAAGCTGGGCAAACACACACCCATTCGAGGATGGGAAGGCTTTCTTCAGGTAGGCGCTGCTCGCAACAACGTACCCGCGGATCGGGAAACGACTCCGTTAGATGATTGGCTGCGTACCCTGGAGCACGCTGCTCTGGCGGAGCAAATCCGTCGGTACGCAGTTGCCTTTATTCACCAGTTGGCTCCGTATCTGAGTCGAGTGCCAAATGATAAAACACTGTTGAATCCACCAGATGGCACTGGGAACTCGCACACTAAGGGAGGCAGCTCTTCCTCCTCGAATAGTTCTTCAGTCAGCGGATTACCTGGCGGAGACTTACCCACGGATAATATCAAGCTGGAGCCCGGTACAGAACCTCAAGTCAACCAACCGATGGAGAGCAACGAAATAAAACAGGAACCCGGAGTGGGAAAGGGGGCCACTGCAGCAGGTGATACCAAACCCGCTCTGATCCTCGGAGATCCATTGGGAATGGGCGAGACTTTGGAGGACATCAACCCCTCAGCTATTGTTCTTTATGTGGTCAATCCGTTCACGTTCGCCTCGGATAGCTGCGAATTGGAGCGTCTGGCTCTCATTGCCCTGCTTCGTTGCTATGCGGAACTGCTGAAAGCAGTTCCTGATTCGGTGCGATCGCAGATGAACATTCAGATTATATCGCTAGAATCGGTAATGGAACTGGGACCGTGCGGCAATCGAAAGCGTTTCTCAGACGAGATTAGGTGCCTGGCTCTAAACATATTTTCGCAGTGCCGGCGGCATCTGGTGCATGCCCAATCCGTAAAAAGTCTCACTGGTTTTGGGACGGCGGCTAATATGGAGGCCTTTCTCAAGACAAAGGATGAACCCAATCGCCGGGCCTACAAGATGTACACGGCTCCCTTTGTTCTGGCGCCCATGCACGAGAGGAATGACAAAACGGACTTCTCCAGATCGGCGGGAAGTATGCATGGCCAGAATGAACATCGTTATTCGGTGATGTATTGCAATTACTGCCTGAGCGAGGATCAGGCTTGGCTTTTGGCCACCGCCACTGATGAAAGAGGCGAGATGCTGGAGAAGATCTGCATTAATATTGATGTGCCAAACCGTGCACGGAGGAGAAAAGCTCCTGCTCGCTATGTCGCCCTAAAGAAACTGATGGACTTCATCATGGGAATCATCTCGCAGACATCGCAAATGTGGCGTTTAGTGATCGGGCGCATTGGAAGGATCGGACACAGTGAACTGAAGTCGTGGAGTTTTTTGCTCAGCAAGCAACAGCTGCAAAAGGCATCCAAGCAATTCAAGGATATGTGTAAGCAATGTACATTGATGTATCCACCCACAATCCTGAGTGCATGCCTTGTGACCCTGGAGCCGGATGCCAAGCTGCGCGTGATGCCCGATCAGTTTACTCCAGATGAGCGCTTCTCACAGATTTCCATGCAGAACCCGTTGGCTACTCCACAGGACGTGACCTGCACCCACATCCTGGTCTTTCCCACTAGCGCCGTCTGTGCGGTAAGTTCACTGCCTAATCTAACACGATTGGTTATAATTGTATTTCTTATTTTCTTGCGCGCAGCCCTTTACGCGCCAGTTCCAAAACGAGCCTCAAGTAGATGACGACTTCCTAACCTTCGAGGAAGAGGGCAACGAGGACTTTAGCGACGCGGACATTGGGGATCTGTTCTGGGACAGTAAGTGTTTTTAATTATCAGTCTCTGCATTCGGATACTCAGGTTTTATCTTAAAACAGCTCACATGGACAGAGTTTCCAATCATGGTAGTCCCGGTCGCATGGACGACAATCGGAGTTGGCAAAGCGCAGGCGGTAATAACTTCAAGTGCACACCGCCCCAGGAAGTAGAGGAGGTGGGTGATCCATTATACTGGATTGACTTAAAACATTTACTAATTTTTCTCACCATTTCAGGTTGGTTCACTCAACCAGCAGCCCATATCAGTGGGTTACATGGTGTCGACGGCGCCAACCGGTCGCATGCCCGCTTGGTTCTGGTCCGCCTGTCCGCATTTAGAAGATGTTTGCCCCGTATTTCTGAAGACAGCCCTACACCTCCATGTGCCCAGTATACAGTCTGCCGATGATATTCTCAACTCGACCAATGCCCATCAGTCAGCCAACGATCATCCGCTTGACTCTATTCTCACAGCGGATGTTCTGCGCTTCGTCCTCGAGGGATACAATGCGCTTTCCTGGCTGGCGCTAGACTCCAACACACACGATCGTCTCTCATGTCTACCCATCAATGTCCAGACGCTAATGGATCTGTACTATCTGACGGCTGCCATAGCCTAAGGTCCGGGATCTCAGACTCTCACATCCTTGGATTCTCAGATCACCTAAAAACTAAATCAATCAAACGCAGTCGCATGCTTCCGTTTGCAGAACTTCCACTAGCTATATAATATCTTCAAAGAACAACAGAGTACAGAACCGAAAGGATCTGAATCTGAACAGAATCAGCAGCAAGTAACCTTGAATAGAAGTTAACAGAATCCAAAAACACCAACAGAACAACCAGAGCAATAGCAGCAGTTAACGCAACGCACAGATTACTTAGCCTAATCAACAGGAAAACTAAACATATACAGATCACCGATGAGAGCGGCGGATACAACATTATCGTCTACCGATAAGTCTTGAACAGCAACAGCATTACTATTTATTAGTCGTCGAGAATTTGTAAAAGTGTCAAGTGCAAGAATTGTTTGTTTAATTTTATTTTTTATACATATACATAGGCTGGCGTTCGATTAGAGTTTAATATTTATAAATATACAAAGAGGAGCGAATGAGATAGCGAAAAGCAAACAACAACAAGCAACCACACACATGTAGGCACATAGGTCATATATATACAATAGGCGGAGTGGAGTTAACGCGAGAAACATATTAGCATAAGTAAAAAAGTTTGTACATATTTACAACCAATTCGCCGTAAGCAGCAAACCAGCAGCAGCAACAAAGCAAAACAGAAGTGTAATTATACAATTAGTAATTAGTTTACAACAAATTGGAGAAGCAGAGGAGACCCTATTTAAATCTAATAAATTAAATCAATAAATTGTGTAAATTTTTGTGCAAAGCGAGAATTAGTTTAAATTTAAATTATACAAGAAGGAAGAAAGTGTAAAACAACACCGAACACACGCATTAAACGCCCCCACACGATGGAAACAACAAAACATATAATTAACTGAAACTGTATACTGTAAATTGCATATATAAAAACTATATATATCCTGACGCCTAGCGCAGATGATGAAGGACATAGAAGGAGTAGAAGTAAGTGGAGGTCGAGGACTAGGAGTAGAGTTAGGATGAGCGGTTAGGAAGAGTTTTAATTTCGTGTGTTTTTTGTTGTCTCTTGTACTCGTATAATGCTAGGGAAACGTTTGTACTTCACACAGATACTGAGCCCAACCCACAAACAACAAACACACACACCACTCACATAGCCAATTTTCTAATAATGGAATACTTAAACGAAAATGTGTACAAATTAATAATAATGCTTGTAAAGAACGGGAAAGCTTTCTAGACTCACCAACAACACAACAACCACAATTGAGTTTGCACGTTTAAACGATTTTCGCTAGGCTTAAGTTTAAAACAAAATCAATTAAGTAAAGAAAGAAAACAATTATTAAACAATGAAATTATTTTTACCTGTGTATTTTAATTAGCGTAAATTGTGTAAACAACAAAACCTACGATTACAAAGACGTTTTCTAGTAATTATCAACACCAACACCAACACCAACATAGAAACACACAACACCCCACATGCATATCTTTTAAGTAGTTTCGATTTCATTTAGTATTCTTTTTATTTGTGTAATAAACAGAACTTGTTTGCAAACCGGATTGTTCATTATTTCATTTGATTTTTCCTCCGCCTTCATATCCCAGATCCCTCGTAGAACACCCATATCTATATATCACGCAAGTGCACGCTGTATATAAGGAACCGCTTACAATCATTTTCTAGAGATCGATATTATCGTGCTTGCCGAGTTTTTCCTAGCTAAGGTTTCAGTTGCCACACACTCTCTCACTCATTTCCCGGGAAATCAAAATTCCCGGGCGCCAATAAAAGCAAATAATTATAGCAATACTTAAGTGTAAAGCACAACAAATGTTTAATGATTCATGAAAACGGAAAAACGAAAAATTTCAAATGAAAAGCAACTCGAAACATTTACCGCAACAATTGACAACAAGCATTCATAGCAAACCAAACCAAACAAAAACAAAAAAATAAAGAAAACAAAAGAAAAAATATATGGATATGGATTTAAAACCAAAATGGGAACAGTTTTTTAATAAACAAAACTCAGTTTACGAGTTGAACATTTTCTAAATACGGATTAGATTAAACTAAGGACAACCACAATTCACTTGGAGATTAAGTTGAGGAAATGCGAGCGACTAAAAGTTATACACGTTCATTGTAAAGTTAATTTAGGACAAGTTTAAGGCTTGAGAACTAATTAAAATTTAACAACAAAAAGCAGAAAAACCACAAAGCAAGGAAAATACAAACAAAAAAGTGCATTAAGCGTTGTCGAGGAAAACATTTACTAGCCTAGCCTAGTATGCAATTATTAAGATAAATTAGTTTCGAGGATATCCGATCGATGAATCCCGAAAACAGAACAAAGTCCCCAAAATCGAAGGACGTGGAGCAATTTCAAGTGAGGACAGATATTTGTTTATAAAACAAAAGGGCGCATGTTATAGACACCATACACACACTATATATATACAAATATATATCGAGATTTGTACGAGAACATGAATGTCAAAATCTAGCTACAGAATTGCATATTATATAATATATACAATTAAATTAAAGGGCAAAAACAAAATGTTGTTGTAGTAAAATTACAATTAAGTTTTGTTTTGCTACCAAGTCAGAAACGGAACAAGAGCAAAATCGATGAGCAAATAGCAAAGGTCAAAAAATGGGTCAAATTTTAAATGTGCAAAGCAAAAACGACACAAAGAAGGAACAACAAATTTTTTGTAATTTCTTTACAGATTATAGATTTGTTTGGCAAACAGGCGGTAACAAATACAAACTAAAAAACAATTTTTCAAATAAAACTAACATCAAATTCAAAACGTAACGTGTGTTTCCTAGTCTAATGCATTTAAATGTATCCCGGAAGTAGTATATTTCTTCGTTTTAGGTCAACTTCACCCAAGGTTGCCGCCGATCAATGATCAGGTAATATTCGCGCATCTTTTTGGAGAACTCCTGACCACCTGCGTGACTGCAAATGCTCCAGCAATCCATCACAAGGTTCATCTCGTAGGAGTTGCTGATGCTCTCCAAGTCGTCTGCAAGGAACAAGTAACGATTCAAAATCGGGAGAGAAGGCTATAGTTTAGTTGCCCGATCTTCAGATACTGTGAACTCAGATGTGTTAGTGCGAAGGAGAAATGTAAAACTCAATGAAATTGGCTAGGGGAGTACAAAGAATTGGATTGGATATTCAATTATGCATATTTTTGTAGACTGAAAAACGACTATGATACGTATTTCTAAATGATGGCATTAAAAGCCCTGCTTTGCTGTTAGTACAGTGTTCTATAACGCTGCGATAACCACTTGCATATAGGAAAATTGGAAGCAACTTACTCACAACCATCTCCTTGACCTCCCATTCGGCATCGTAGCGGCGGCTCAGGAACTGCAGCATCGCCAGAAGCCTGGAACTGTCGAGCTTGGGCGTTATCATGTGCTTCGCCAGTGAATCGTCGTCCAAAAAAAGGGTCAAGCGGTTCAACATCCTGGCTGTGTTGTCCCTGATCTCGGTCAGGTTCTTAAAGATTTGGCCTATCGTGGCGAGGGGACGTTGGAGGCGTTGGTACAACTGGTTGATTCGTTTCTCCGTGGTCTGGAGCTCCTTACGCGAGTCCGCATTGTTGAGCTGATTCTCCGTGCTGAACAGCTTAAGATTTATGGTCCGGATCTGCCTCATGGCCGCCTGACCATTCTGGATGCCTTTTTTCCACTGCTCCGCATCCTTGCACACTTGCTCGGACATCGTAGTCATCTCACTTCTGGCTTTGTTCACATTCATGTTCGAAATTGCACAATTAAACAGAATGACGTTGAACAGAGTTTGAAATAAAACATGTAAATTAGGAGCTTCCAGGGCTGCCTAGTTGAAGTTTTAAATACCTTTTCCAGGGTTGCGACATCAACAGAGTTGTATTTATGTTGTTCTAATATGCACCCGTTTTGAGACTGCTTTAGTAGAGTTGCTTGACTATCAGCTACCCGTTACTCAGCTAGTGGAAGCTAGTGCAAACGAGGAATTTCAATATTTTCTGGAATATCAGTAGAAATTGGGGAAAACATAATAAGATCAAGAATACTTTATATGATCGGAAACGCTTCCATCTGCTTGTTACATACTTTTCAACGAATCTAGTATTGAGTAACGGGTATAATTAGGTTCAGCTGTACTTTGTTTCAGAAGATTTAATATTAGATTGATTAACTGTTATTCTAAAATCAATTGTTTCAATTGTCATTTAGTTCCAAACCACGCCTATTCTAACTACATGACCCCCACGCCCAAACTTTAGAATATCTTCCACTATCTGAGTAAGGGGTATCTGATAGTCGGTGAACTTGATTATTGCTCTGTTATTTCTGACTAATGTAATAGTGCTTGTAATTTGTTTTCTAGTTTTTTTTTTTGAAGTTTCAGTTTTGTCCCGCTTTTCCCCTTTGGTCCCTAATTTTTTCCTTACCGATCGCGTTGCGTGCCAAATTGATCAAGTGTCCACGATTAAGCAGCCGACTAACTTTGGCCCCATTAATTGCGATCATGTTGGCCCCACCTCCCACTTCCCCGCCCCTTCCACTATTTACAATTAACTGCGTGACGCAGGCGCAGAAAAATCGTAGGAAACAATTTTCACTTGGCTTATTTTGGATTGGAATGGGAACTGGGCACTGGGATCTGGAGATGGAGCTTGGAGCCTGGAGTCTGGAGAATGGAGAATGGAGCTGGTGCTGTCAGGCGGCATGAATTACTGTGCGTTGATTGCCTTTAAGGCCTGATTGCAACAGCAAGAACCACAACAACAGGGGCACAAATTGCTGGCTGCTGTTCTTATATATACAATTTTTTCTTTAGCGGCATGCGGCATGCGGCATGCGGCAAACGGGTTTCGGGCAGTTTGTCCCCCATTTTTTGTTGCCCCCACCCAAGGCGACTGCATTAATTATCAACAAATCATTTCTGCAGCACCGAAAGCCGCATTTATCAGCGATTATGCATGGACAAAGGAGTCGGCGGAGTCGGCGGACTCATTGGACAGCGGACGCAGGACGGAGGACATCGGATGCTCCGCAACTGGCAGGTTGCAAGTGTCGCCCGACATATGTTGCTGCCCCGTGGAAGTGGATGCCATGTGGATCGAGATGGCGATCTTGACGTGGATACTCATTTTTCAGAAAGGAGGAGAGATCACTCTGATCTCTAAATTTGATTCATTTATTTTTCGGAAATACTCGTGTGTTAAAATTGAAATTTTGAAATTTCGAATTATGTTGCCTTAAGCTACAATCTGAAACTATAATCTGCAAATATTTGTTATTGCTATAAATTTAATATAAAATATACGTTTATGCAAAGTGAGAAAAAGCGAAATTAGAGAAAAAGGGCTTATTGCCATTTATGTAATTATTTTGAGTGTACTTATTGCATATACAAGCTAGAGGCGTACTGTACTTTATTTATTTCTCCTTTGTAAACGTAGGTATTTTCATTTCTTTCAGTGTACACTTGGAGGATTCTGAGCTCAGGGCGTCGGCGACATGACATCGCATTGATAGGCGCAAAAAATCGAATCGCATCGGGTTGCCGCTGTCGCTGGCTCGCAATTAAGATATTTTTATGTAAATTAATGGAAACTCAGAAAGGACCGTTGGCTTCGGAATGGGAAAAAAGAGCTGGAGCAGCATGCGTGCAACTTACAAATAAGTACAAGTCCCAGCGATTGGCTAGCCCGTAAAGCCCAATTGCGCATTTTTAATTGGAAGCCTGCCAACGGGCGAAGCAAACAAAAAGTGACGCACCGAAAATTTATTGTTTCAAGGATCCAGGGCGATCCAGCCCGCTCCCATTCGATGCGATTCGATCCGCAAACAGCAAAAGGGCCGCAGGCCAGGGAGCCAAGCAGGAGGATGCCGAACGGCATCATTGTTCCCCAATCTCGGGATCCGTTCTCTACGCTTCTCGGAGCTCTCTTACTTAGGCATTTATGTCTGGCACTTGACACATTTTGTTATGGCATTTTTCAGCTACCGCGCGGAGTCCTCCGACTCGGTTGACCCAATCAAAATTCCTGCATCTTGCACTTGAATGCGTTTAATTTGTGGGATTTGCTTGGGGCCACCGTTTGTTGGTCAAGTGTTGGAGTTTATGTTCTCCGATGCACTGGACAGACCATTACCCTCAAGGTTGCTTTGGAGTTGGAGTTGGACTTGGGCTGACAAAGAAGTTTAAATAGGGCTATAAAGCTGTAAACAGTTTTTTCAACAACTCTGACCTTCGACGACACTTTGCTTGAAGTGCTTGTGTGTTTAAGTTGGGAGTTAGTAGTTATACTCGTTGCTCGTAGATTCTTTTTATATTTTTTTCCCTCAATGTTGTTTTATATTTTACCTTGCTAAATGGACACCTTGCAGCTCCAATTGCGAGTTCCTCCGAAGATCATTTGGCTGGTGTTGTTATACATTTTCCATTACCCAATGCACTTCGCATTTCCGGACCCAAAAGTCCGGTCCTCCGGCCAACTGCAAGCTGAAAAGTGCAGCCCATCATTTCTGCATTATTAATTCCTTTTCTAGCGTAAGCCAACTTATTTGCCTGCTTATCTCCGCCAACATCCTTTTGGTCGGTGCGCAGTTAATGGGGAACCAGCTATGGGGCCAACTACCTGGGGAGCAGGGTGGTCAGTCCAGGGTCTGGACTGCAGATACTACACTGGAACAAAAAGCCACAAGCATGTAAACGTTTTCCAATAGTCTGAGAATCAATTCTAAAATTTTAAATTAAATTTAAAGCAACTTAATTAATTTAGCACTGTTCCAACGCCCGCTTTTGCAAAGGTTTCAAAATGTTTCAAGTTTATGTTGTAAATTACCCGTGTTTTTTCCTCTGCAGAACCCAAGGCAGCTGCAGACATCCAACTGGCCAGTTTAGATTGTTGTTGCCGGTAGTGTTTTCCGATCGCCGGACAGGCAAAACGAGAGCAGAACGGGTCTAGCGTTGCGCGGGGGGACAAGTTGATTTATTCTAATCTGTATAAGCGCTGCTATAATAAAGCAAAAAGGCCCACAGAGAGTGGACAATGCTCGCCAGCGGCTTTCGGCCATGTCCGCAGCTAGGACCAAATTGCCGATCGAAGTGGAGGCGACTGGATTCAGGTTCGGAGCGACCTGGGCACCAGCAATCCCTAACCATTGTGTGTGTGCCCGCTGATTTGGCATTGTAATTGGATTTGAGCCGCCGGTGCCATCGCAGCTGCAGATTCTAATAATGACTCAGCAGCGGAGCGGAAAAGGAGCACGTTGCGGCGTTGTGGCCATCCTGTGCCCATTGTTCTTGACTTGGCCCGAGGTCCCCGGCTAAAGCCTTTCACCGGCTCTAATGCGCACTTCCCAGCCTTCGAAATGAAGATGCATGCGCTAATTTATCGACTCTCGACGCGAAGGAAGCCCCAGACATGCAAAATGTCGCCGGCCAAGAATGTTATCTACGCCCAGAGCCTCGGAAAGTGTCGCTCCTGAGAGGAGGACGCTGGTGGTGCTGGAGTCCACAGCATGGAGTGCGGAGTGCGGAGTGCTGAGTGCCGAGGCGATGATGGCCAGTAGGAGGCTGGGACGAAGGCGGAGGCGTCAATGGGACCGTCAGCAACACCCACTTCGCTGCGATGCTCTTATCGCCGGTATACTGTGCCCACAACAGGGTAGCTCCACTTTGCTAAGGGACCTGGCTTGATCAGTGGCCATAACAAATAAAAAAACGAGATAGATGCCTTAAACTTATACTATAATGTCAATGGTATCTCAAGATATTAGATTTGTTAGAGGGAAACTTCCTCTAAACTTCCTATGTTGAAAAAGGCTGAAATGATGAAAACTTCCCAATTATAGTGTATTCCGGAATCACCTGATCTGCGGAGTAGGATCGCATTGTTTTCGCTGTCCTCGCATTGCGTTTTATTCAAATTTAAACATGGTGCTAACACGCAAGGAGCAGCCAAGTGGGAGGATTGGGTGGAGGATGAGCCGGCGGGCGTGGGCGGAGGCCAAATCACGTAATGCGCCATGCAAACATTGTTAAAACACTTGTGGCCCCAACTCCAAGCCACTTCACTACTCTCCGCTCAGCACTTTATACTGCTGCTTCTGCTTCTGCTTCTGCCACTTCACTTGATTTTATTTTCGCGCAAATTTGCATTTTCAATTCGCATTCGCTATCGCTTTGTCCTCTGAGAAAGGAGGAAAACAAAGTACGGGAAGGGGAGCTTGCGTTTATTTAAATTTATTTTCCTAGAATGCCACAAGTCGACATCTTCTCAGTCGCATCGATGTGCAATTTGTTTGTCGCCTCTGTCGAAGACTCTGAAACTGCATCCGAAACTGCATCCGCTCCCTGCCAGCCAGTCTGACTTCTGGGGCCTCCCGTCCACATGTCTGCGGATCCAGCTCTCAGTCCTGCCAGAGTGGCCTCAACTCCTCAGCTCCACAGCTCCACAGCCACGACGGCCAACTGCGTCTGCGTATGAAAATTAATTGTTGCCACTCGTGACGACGTCGACATCAGCAAAAGGCGAAATCGGAGGCAGAAGCACAAACATCACACTGGGAAAAAATCTCTTTAAATATTAACGCCGACTTAAAGCATTCTCAAAGCTTTAAAAGTACCCTACCTACCCATCCTTCTTTCTACAATTTGTATATATATTTATTTACAATAATTGCAAAACTACTTGTAACAAAAAGACACCAATGATTAGTGGCAGTATTGGCTTTTAGGGCATTTAATATATATTAATAACTAAACATTTTTTATGAACACAATTGAGGGCATATACAGCTACAATTAAATTATTTTTAAACTAGCATTCATCATTAGATATATTTTTTGTTACATTACTACTGCACAAACCATTGAACATTTTTGAAAATAATATTTAATACATTGTACCCTGACATAAGTTTTGCAGCATTGAATGAAATCGTGCCTAATTTTTTTGAGTGCTGAACAGTAACTGCGATATGAACAGCAGCAGCAGCAGCACTGCAAATCGCAAGTGGCAAGTTGCAAGTGGGCGGCAATGGGGCGCGTATCGCTTAGATTTATGGACCGCTCTCGTCGGCCGCGTGTCGCGTGATAAGTCTATAAAATGTACGTTACATTTGTACGTGCAAATGGCAGTGGGACGATTTGCATATTTGCGAAAGTTTTTCACCCATGGCCGTGGCGTAGGACTTTCATTATGCCATCGCCGCGCTGCCCAGGAAACTGCATTAAAGCCACTTCTGTGCAGTGAAAGGTGGTCCCAGGCAGCCAAGCGCCCAGTTTCCCAGTTGCCAAGTTCCCTGGACAAGGTGGGGACACTTCTCTGAGGCCTTTCGACTCCTCGCTGGACGTGGACGTGGACGTGGACGTGGACGTGGTGATGTGGTGCCATGTGGGCTGACCCAGCGGCACATTATCTGTGTTAATTGTATTTCGTACTATCGGGTTCCAGGTGAAAGGTTCGAAAGTTTTGTCACAGCCAGAGGGCTATTTTTTTGACTGGACACATTTTTGACAGATTGCAGTCGCACGCGACTTTATGATTTAACGATCGGTTTCAGTCTTACCCTGTATACTTTCTTCTTGAAATTAAAAACAAAAACTGGCTGCACTTAGGAAGCAGCGCCTCTAATCTGAAGTATTTTCTTATATAGAGCACGATTGTAACATATGTTATAACTTGATCTACATTTATGTTGATTCGTTTATTTCCTACATTATCCATCAATGCACTTCATAACTTGTAATACTTTTTAAAATTGAGTTGGTGAAAGACCAAACCTCCAATGTTGAACGCCTATTTCCAGTGCCACCGCTTAGTTGCACCACAAAGCCTCGATTTCTCACTCAAAGATGTTTGTTGTGGCATCTGAAAGGTGGGAGTGCATAATCTGTGCGCAAATCTATTCAGCAGATTGTCAGAGTGTCGGTCCCCTTGGTTTTTCTCCACGGATCCCATTTCCCGGACCTTTAACTTCATTGTTCAGTCCTTTTGGCTCCTCAAGCGCAGCGCTTTGTTCAATCAATTTTTGCTTGATTTACAATTTCAAGTTGATGACATTTCAGCAGCAGGAACGAGAGGAGCAGTATCACTCGGTTTGTCAGTCCGAAGTGCAG